GCGCCTCCCGCCCGCCGCGGCGGGAGCGGCGCGGGGTGACAGCCCCCAGACAGGTCCCTCTGGACCCCAGGCTCCCCCGGGAAGAAACGCGTCCCCAGCCCCGGCTGAGGCAAAGCCTCCTCAGACAGAGCCCGGGCTCCCATCAGGGCGCGCGCCGACCGCTGCCTCTCCCGCTTTCCCTGACAGGAAGCGGTGGAACGGATAACAGCCAAGCGCTTGAGCATGTATTTGCCCAAAATAACAAGGATCCCTCGCTGCCACTCGTCTCTTCTAACCCCAAAGCGCCGTTACCTTTGTGACAGGGCAGACACTCATAGTCCCTGCAGCTCCCTAGGCCGGGCTCCTGGCAGCCACTGCGGCCATGCTCTGTCAGCTCAAGCCTGAGGACCGCTCTCCTCAGCAGAATGGAGATGTTACCAACTCTAAAATATTTAAGACAATGGGCTCTCGATGCCTATTAGGTTCATTAGAAGATTCTGGCAAAAAAAGCCGCACAGCTTTATGTGCAAGGCTTTCCTTTTCATCTAGGCCAATATTGCCACCTCGCGCTGGTGTGAGGGAAGTTCACTTTTCCCGTGCTCTCCTTAAATTTGTCGATTTTATGACCCAAGTAGCACTCGTACAAATGGGACAAACTAGCTATGATTTGAAATTTTTCATAGTCGATATCTTTCTTTCCAATTTAATTTTGTGGCTAAAGCCTCGGTCGCTCCATCATCTTGGAAAAGCTGCTATGATCTGGCAGCTTTGCCGGGGTGAGGGAGTGAGGCTGAATTCAGTCGCCAGGGGAAAAGAAAAATCTGCCTTTTGAATTCATCATGGGCTGATTTTTCTTCTCTGTATGTGGCTGGAGAGCACAATGAAACAATAACACAGAGGGTGTTAGAAAAAAACCAGGGGATTAGTACAAAAGTGCTCAGAGAACAATCACAAGAAATGCAGCTCTCTTAACAAGCTCGGGTTGAAAAACAATTAAGGGCTCAAAACCAAACACATAAATCTGAATTAACAATTCTTCTGTGC